TTAGCCAAATCAGTGGAAGAAGAGAGAAACTTGAAAAAAAATAGAATGAGTAGGTTGTAATTAAAACATATTGGAATGTCGAAGTGGATTGAACAAAAATAATTTTGGGGCACCTCTAATTCAACCAGCAATAGTTACTTTTTTTTTCCAATTACTCGGAAGACATAAACACACCCACACCACCACCACACATTCATACATATGAATAGGTCTCTTAGCCTCTTAGGCTTGCTTTGGTACAACTCTTGATCTTATATCTTAATTTGTTGGATAAAGTTTGTATAGTGGTTTGACATTTTATAATTTCTATAAGACGTGAACAATGACTCATTCAAATGCTATGGGGTGTTCTCAAAAACATAAGTCCCTCGACTTATGTTTTTGAGAGAGGTTTAGCCCCTCTCTCCCAAACACCCCCTATAAATGTAATAACAGATCTAGATTCATATATTCTTAGAGCTAGAAATACCTAGCTACAAAGATTCTTGGATCTGAAGCTATGCCAAAAACGACCTTAACACATGCTTTTTGAGCGATAAAATCCTTGGCCTCACTATTGAAAGTATATATATCCATATATGCGTTAAGAAAACATTTAACCCCTCTACATAGTGCATGCCCAAATATCCATTCAGTTCCCTCCCACTGCATTCCACCATAGTGATGCCACATGTACTTCACCACCTCCCTCTTCTTCTGGACACCTTTCTCACGACGCCATAGCAGCCACCTCGTGATTCGACAGAGGAGAGAGTAGTTGGATTGGGGATGAATCCGGACCAGAGGGGCTAAACCGCTAAATGCTTTTTTTTTACCATGGTGCCTTTTGGAGGTGGCTGAACTAAAATTTTCATCCAATGTAGTACAACCACTTTAGCCCCTAAGACTAGTAAAATGTGTTCTCGATTTGTTGTTATACATTAAACCATGATTACGGATCTAAATGTGATTTTTTTTAATATTATGAATCTAAGTGATATCACGGTATAAGTTAAAAAGGACCGGTAATATACGAGACCATAGTGTGTAGAGTGTACGTCTCCACATGCGCACACACCATCACATGTACTGATGTACACGTCTCTTAGAGTTCCCTTCAAAACAAATACTCCCTCCGTTTCACAATGTAAGTCATTCTAGCATTTCTTACATTCATATTGATGTTAATGAATCTAAACATATATATCTATCTAGATTCATTAATTAATATGAATGTGGGAAATACTAGAATGACTTATATTGTGAAACGGAGGAAGTAGCTAAAATTAAAGGTGAAAATCTGGGATGATAATCGGATTGGGTTGTGAATAATGCCCTGTATAGCCGTATAGGTGATGCACCTCTGTCCGATTGGGTTGATGGCATCAAATCCGTGCCATACGTACTTTGCGACGTATTTAGACAAAGAATCGTCAAAATAATCAGTAGTGGTGTACTAATTAACAGGCGCCGCAGGAACTTAATTAGTGCGCTGCATCTTATTTTCTCACTGCATTTGTCGCGAAAAGACGTCGGCACCTCGATCGATCAGCTTAGCTTTTTGATCTGCAGCTCATATTAGCCAATGTTCTCTTATTGATTAGGAATATATAAAGCTTAATTAATTGCTTAATTAACCTTTTTCCTTTTTGTCACAAGGGTTGACGAAACTTCACACCCTTTCACAGATGACGGGCACTTTGATTAGCTCTGCATGCTTGACCAGAGCTCTAATTATGCAGTCTAATTTAAAGTGTATGATGGTGATCAAGTATTTTTAATATACATACAGTGGCAGATAATGACACTGTGCGTATGATGACATTTGTTGAGGGAGATAGATCGAATGGTGAGATATGTTTATCACTGAAAGTTGCCATATATATAATTAACAGATAGGATTGTTAACTTAGTTAATTTTCCAGTTACTCAAAGTTCTCTTCCCCTATGTATGATCTTCCCTAAACTAAATTATAACATGCATATCTCAGTCCATATTTAGCTAGCCAGCTGAGTACTGTACTCTGCCTGTACTACTGCAAAACTTGCATGTGATGATGCTCCTAATGATTAAGAAAATGGTAGTTAATTAAGTTGATGCAGCCATCGTTGCATGCGCATTTGTATATGCTAGATTGGTCATGATGCTTCCAAATGATAAGGGTTTGGTTTTATACATGTGTAATCGGCAATATAAATAGGCATTGTTGTCGACGATTTATTGGCGTACGGACGCCGCTGACTTCTGCCTTTCGTCGATGCGTATAAATATATGTACTTATACGTAGATTGTCATGAAAATGAAAATACTGTCAGTATTCTGATAGTTATATATGTCTGACCTGACCCGATGCTGAGGCAAGATGTGCATTAATTTATATCCGGATAAATTAAGAGGTGTGCAGATAATCATAAATTTTTCCACATGTGAAAGATTTATACAATTTGTTAATTTAACAACATACATATGCTACCTCCGTTACAAAGTATAATAACTTATGACTATGAATCTGACCAAATACTACTTTAGGAGGGTTTATAATTTCATTTTACATATTTACGTTAAGGGCATCGGAACTTTTACTAAATTTAAACAATTTTTTTTACTGAATTTGACTAAATTAAAGAAAATAAAAATTTTGGGCGAAATAGTTTTGTGTGGGGTGGGGACTGGGGACCTGAAATTTTGGATATTTTGAACCAAAATTTTAAACACTGGTAGTTTTGTTTTATTTTATTTCTAAAATAGAACTTTGCTCTCGTCGGCATGTATATGTATATATAGTACCTACACCGGTCACACTCCGGAGTCCGGCCGGATCGACTCTGCTATGTCAACGGCATATAGTAAAAGTTGCATTACAAAAGTGTTTGTCTTTTACTGAGATTAATATATAGTGAGATCATAGGCCATGCCTGATGTTCATACGTAATTCATACATGACACCCTGGGATATATCGGTCGTTAATTTGGATGTTGATAGTCTTCAAAACGAGATATTTTTATGGTTCTCACAAAGAAATACTCCATCCGTCTCATATTAAATACATCCATGAGTTTCCATGTCCAACTTTGATCATCCGTCTTATTTGAATTTTTTTTTATAATTAGTATTTTTATTGTTATTAGATGATAAAATATGAATAGTACTTTGTCTATGGCTTATATTTTCTATTTTTTAAAAAAAATTAAATAAGACGGACGATTAAAGTTGGACACGTAAACTTATGGCCGTGCTTAAAATAGGACGGAGGGAGTAGAGGGGTACTCCCTCCATCCCATAATATAAAGCACGCACGTATTTTAAGATTCAACATTTAAAATATTTGACCAACATTTAGTATAATATGAAATAAATTTTATTCATTAAAAATTATATCATTAGATTGAGATTTAAATTTACTTTCATATGGTTATAATTTTCTTGCCAGAAGCCTTATAGAATATGAGAAATTATAAGCTAAAGATTACTTTTGGAGACCGTGCTAACTTTGACCGCGCCTTATATTATGTGATAGAGGGAGTATATCATAGTGTTAAATAAGAGGCATATACCTTCTGATCTAAACATTGGAAATATCTATGCTATATATACAATTACCTCCTCAGGATTTTTTTTTTAAAAAAATTTTATCTCATTAATAGTCAACTTTTGGATAGAGAAAGTACCACACAATGCATTCTAAGATGAAGTGATTCTAGTAAGGAGGAAGTAAAAATTTAGAAATAACGCCTTCAAATTGGACCATCCAGGTACATTGGGTATTTCATTTATACTCCAACACCTCCCTCCTATGTCGAGGCGCTTTCTCAGGTCTCAAAATGTGCAGTACAATTTAATTATATCAGCCAAAAAATTGAACTCGAGACCTTAAGTTGTAAGGCCACATTTAGATGCAAGCATCGGACTGTTCATTCAAAACTTTAAGCTAATTAGGAAAAAGGACAATTCACTTATATTTATTTCAACACTAATACATTTAGCAAAATGTGCTTCAAAATATATGGGTTGTCAGAATTGCCTAGGTATAGCATGATGGTTAAAATCCAACCAGGAGTGTTTTTTTGACATAGAAATCCAACTCGAGTTCATCCAGCCAATAATGTGACAAGTCCGGGTACAGCACGCAACAGAGAGAAAAAATGGCCTTTGGGAAGTAAGATTGATAAGCGTTGTGAAATTGGCATGCAATTTTCAAACACATATATAGGCCACAAAAGTTTACCCTCTATCTGCCTGTTACATTATTAATTCAGAAACGGGAATTAATTAAAGATACTAAATTAATGCTCATTCTAACATGGCCTATAAATTGTCATGTTAATCGACAAAAAAAATGCACCATTTAGTCGCAATGGGTCCATAATGTAGTGTAGAGATCAATCAATACAATAATATACTACAAAGTACGAAGGTGTTTTATTTATGAAAATACAAGTCAATAGTTGTACACAAATCAAAAATGCGTACAATTATGTAATTGAGTTATATATCAACTTTGATTTTCATTCTAGAATCTATAGCTCTGCTTAAAAAAATTGTTAGTTGCATATTTATCATATCTTTTTGTAGTTTTAAACAGTACTCTCCACACAACACATACCCTGCAATCGACAACACGACCCAACTAATAGAAACTATTATATACTCCCTCGTTTCCTAAATGTTTGACGCCGTTGATTTTTTTAAACATGTTTGACCGTTCGTTTTATTCAAAAATTTTTGTGAAATGTGTAAAACTATATGTATACATAGAAGTATATTTAACAATAAATCAAATGATAGGAAAATAATTAATAATTACTTAAATTTTTTGAATAAGACGAACGGTCAAATATTTTTAAAAAAAATTAACGGTGTCAAACATTTTGGGATGGAGGGAGTATAACAAATATTTCTTTAATTACCTCCCCTAATTAATTCGATTATAATGGTATAAGCATCACATCAAGTCTCTACAAGATGGCCTAATACAAAACACACTTTCTTTCTCCCCCTTCACCATCAGGTCTCCTTGCTATAAAACTCCCACCCTCACCTCCCGCCACCATGTCCACCCACCGGCACTGCACCGCCGCCGCCGCTGCCGCCGACAACGACGACCCTGACCATAAACGGAGACGGCTAGCGCTAGTAATAATAGTGTACGCCGAGATGGGCAGGGCGCCGTGCTGCGACAAGGCGACGGTGAAGAAGGGCCCGTGGGCGCCGGAGGAGGACGCCGCGCTCAAGGCCTACGTCGACGCCCATGGCACCGGCGGCAACTGGATCGCCCTCCCCCACAAGATCGGTACGTGTCGCGCGCGACGCCGCCGCCTTGAGATGACCGTGTTGATGAGTATATGGCTGATTGCTCACCGGCCGGAGTTGGTGGTGGTGGTGTACGCAGGGCTGAACAGGTGCGGCAAGAGCTGCCGGCTGCGGTGGCTCAACTACCTCCGGCCGAACATCCGGCACGGCGGCTTCACCGAGGACGAGGACCGCCTCATCTGCAGCCTCTACATCGCCATCGGGAGCAGGTACGTATATAGTGGACCGGACGAACACCTTTCCATTTCCAACCACTGCGACGACCTGCTCGATCGATCATGGCCAAAAGCTAAGCTAATCGATCGGTGATCATGGCAGGTGGGCGACCATCGCGGCGCAGCTGCCGGGGAGGACGGACAACGACATCAAGAACTACTGGAACAGCAAGCTCAAGCGCCGCCTGCTCGGCGGCGGCCGCCGGCCGCGGGGCGCGCCACCGCGGCTCGTGCTCGCCGGCCCGGGCCCCGCTGTAACCGCCGCCGCCACGTCGCGCAACGCCATGGCCGCGTCGGCGATCGAGCGGATGCAGCTCAGCGTGCGGCTGCGCCGCCTGGAGGCCGCGGCGCCGCCGCCGCCGCAGCCCTTCACCTTCTACGGCAGCAACAACCTCGCCGCGCCGCCGTGGCAGCAGCCTATCTCCCCGGCCGCGGGCGGCAGCTCGGAGATGCCACGGCGGCTGCATCACCACCACCCCTCCGGCGCCGCCGCTACCTCGAGCTACTCCGGCCTGATCAGCAGCTGGCCGTCGTCTCGCTCCCACATCATCCACGACGCCTGGCTCGACGCCTCCTCCACCCCGCCGCTGTCGACGACGAGCATGGGCGACGCCGCCACGACGACGACGACGGCCGGCGGGGAGAGCTCGAGCTCGACGCCGACGGTGAGCACGGCCACCACGCCGTTCATCGGCGGCAGCATCGACATGGACGACGAGATCGACATGCTGCTCCAGCAGATCAGGTGCTTCGATGAGAACGGCGACGACGGCGACGACGACGCCGACCAGCGGCTGATCGTCGGCGACGAGGCCGCAGCCGGAGCAGAGAACTACCTCAGGGCATTGATAGACGAGGCGGCAGCGAACGGTGGCGATGTCGGCGTTGGCTCCTGGAGCTCTTGCTCTACTCCAGGAGTGGACTCCGTGTTCCATGAGTATGCTCAGCTAGACTACGGACAGTATAATTAATTAATTTCGTAACCACACGCTGCGTGTTATTATTCTACAAATGTTTATTATGCAACTGTGAAGATATAATATCCGAAGGAAATGTCTATGTATATTTTGACACATGTTCTTCCCCAAATCAGTCGAATTTTGAGCCGTCTCCATCCAACTGTCGAATTGTTAATATCTACTCCTCAAGATGAACGTGGATTGGGTTGTTTTAGAGAGAGAGAGAGAGAGTATGTATATGTCGAATTTTGAGCTGTCCGATCTCCATCTAACGGTTTAGATTCGTCCAACTGTCGAATTTCGGATATCTATGTATATATATGTTGACACATGTTCTTCCCCAAATCAGTCGAATTTTGAGCCTCCGATCTCCATCCAACGGTTTAGGTTCATCCAACTGTTGAATTGTGAATATGCATGTGTGCAAATTCAGTGGTTTCTATTCTGAATACTTTGACATGGTTTATGCTTATCATACTACGTCAATGCTGAAGAAAAAGAAAGACGTGGTTTTAGATATGGATATGAGTTTGTTAATTATCCCCTTGGACACATGCTTAGCCTAGTTTAAGGTCTCTGCATTATCTGTTAATCCATAAAGTTGTAGGATGTAGATGTTACCTTTGGGTTAGGTTTGGGTGACATGAGCTTTGTCGTTTAATTACCAGCAACTGTGTACAGACATACAGTGCCAACACTAGCTGTGTAGCAAGTGGCATTGCCGACCTAATTTGTGAAAAGAAATCATAGGTACAGGTTGGTGCTAGTACTCTACTTCAGATGAAACTGCAGGCAGCAGATATATATTGACAATCAAATGAATCAATAATTACAGTGAATCAGTGATCAGTTATGTACTCGTTCTTGATCTTGTTGAGTGCTTCTGTTTCAGAAGGATGGTGTTCAAGTTTGCAAGAGATGGAGAAACTAATCCATTATTGCCCCCTCTCTGAATGCATGTATGCAAAAGATGGTGGGTCAGGGCCCTGAACAAAATCTTCTCTATCTTCTTCTCTTACGCTCTCCACATCACTGCCTGAATCAACATTTTCGATAATGTGATGATCAGGTGTGCTCCATGGAGTATCAGCTGTAGTGTTAGCATTTGACACTGCTGGCTCATCCAATTGTGGAGCATTAGGTCTATCACCCTCGTGGAATATCTTTAGGAGGATGGCAAACCATCCACACCATGAACTCTGACTACTGCTGGCGCTGCTCAAATCATGCCGATGATTATAGAGGGTTATGACAACATGTAGGAACAGTGCCAGCAGTGAAGATGCTCCAGTGATGATGAACAGCCCAAGAAAGCTGCGTAGTGTAAGGCTGCTTGAAGTTTGGGAGTCATCTTTGTCAGGGCATGTTCTATTGTTGTACAATTCTCTCTCCAGTTGGGCCATTCTGTTGCTTGATGTGAAGTTCAATATTCCCCTTGAAATCTCAGCAGTGAGCGGGGAGCCTAGAGGGAATGCCTGCGGGAGTAGAAAAGAAATGAGGATTGTAACAGGTGTTGATGGTTAAATTGCCAGAATGAAGCTGAAGTGATTGCATTTATCATTTAACTTTTCGCTTTAAAAATGGTACAAAAATACTTAGGGAACCCAAAGAATTTAGCTGAATATAAAAAGGAAGTCTAAGAAAACTAGATTGCAATATCATAAACTAGATATAGTGCCAAAGTTAATGCGGTAAAACAATGTGAATAAGGTGCTTAGTTACTTACAAAACCAAATCCATCGAACTTGTAAGTTGGGCCAACCATAGTATAGTTGTGGCAATACTTTGAAAGAAACACCTTAAGGTATGGTATCTCATCGACAACTACAGCAACTCTACCAGTTGATAGAGCCTCGTTGTATTCATCAGGAGAGTCAAGGGCAATCAACTTTGATTCGTCAATTTTCAACCTTTTCAAAAGCTCAGGCATGAAAGAATCATTGAGGTAGCCAACGTTGGCCCCTTTCCTGATGACTTCGTCTAAATTGGTGACTGTTGGCTGAAGTTGTTCCACTGTGAGAATTGAGCTCAAGCTTGCAGTATAACTCCGCTGCAATATCAGCACCACGAAAAGCCAAATAACTAACAAAACTCTTGATAAATTGTTCACAATCTTTTGCCGATGAGCAAAAACAAGTGTGGAGAAGGCGAAGTAGAAGACAGATCCAATTTGATTGACTGGTGGTCCTCTGAAATCTTCATTTGTTCTGTGCTCAATAAACCAAACTACAAAACCTGTTAAGACAAAGAAGGCCGCAGTTCCTAACCATAAGTCAGCTGTTAATGGCTGCAGAAACGTCCATGCAGTCTTCTGTCGCTGGTCCTGGACTGGAACTAGCATGCGCACTCCTGACTCAGTATAAGGAAGAGTGAAGTCCACATATAAAGATCGGTTGGCCAAGATTGTTATATCACCAACTGCTGCATCGAAGTCCTGCCAGAAGATCACACAAGTTGATGGAGAAAATAAGTTAGAAACTGTAAGTCTTTACTGGTTTGTACTGCAGAAAATAACACTAGTGCACTACTAAACACCCAGGAAATGCAAGGATTCACCTACAAACTAAGAGGGACACTTTTTCTTTCCTTGGGATTCATCAGGACAGTAATTATATTCTTTTCCTGATTGGAGCTGGCCGCAAAACTAATTAATAATTGAGAATTATTAAGATGTAAGAGCAGGTGGCAGTTTAGGCATATCAGCTGGTGAATTAATGTGAGACAACTGAGCCCCCAAATAATAAAAAACATCTACTACAAAATTCTACTCTATGAAATCTTATACCTGTCAATATACTAAAAAATAATGGTCACTTAAATACTTAACAGTGGTTCTGCATACTTGAGGAGAGCAATAAGGAAAGCATAGTGCAGGTAAGTCCATATTATTTTTGATAATCTACAAAGAGCAAAGTGTAAGAAAGAAAAACCCATGCTTACGTTCTGATAAACTTTGTAGATAAGTTCATCGTAAGTTCCATTACTTTCCCCCTTTCCATTTCCAAACTCCACATAGTCATGGGGTATTTTGTAGGGTAATCCATTAAGAACTTCCTCGAATACCTCAATGCAGAGTCCTGTGAAATTATATTTTTCTTTCTTTATAAAACCAGAAAACCCAGGTTTTGCAGGCACGCCTATTTTGAGTGTTTTATTCATTGGAAAGAGCCACCCCCTTGGTACAGTTGTTTCTCCTCCTGGCCATATGATTTCATTAACATCAGCTTTCGTATTTAGACCCCTGGAAATGTTAAATTCTGGTGTCCAAAAACCAACTACTCTTTGCTCCTCCCCAACTATATTTATTATCTCATAAGTCATCGATAGCAAATGCATGTCTTGAAACTGAAATTTCCCACTCATGCCTTGGAAATCAATATTCAAGAGTGTGCTCTGGAGCTTCTTAGCAGCATTTGAAGTATTGATCCTGTCAAAATCAGTCGACCCGTTGTTTTTTTCAGACAGAAGAAAGTCTGAGTTAACATATCCAGCCTTCTCTGCTGCTAACGCTAATGCCCACACAGTGTCATATGCGTAGAGACCAGATAATGTGGGCTCACTCAATGTGGTGCCTGGATTTTCAGACTTATACATCTTGCGCCATCTCTGCCTGAAGTTTTGAAGTTGTTTAGTATCATTAACATAAGGTTTCATCCCAATAACTCCTTGCATCACATCAAATGCAGGAGAACCAACTACATCAAAGATGTCTGTTAAGCCATAAGCTGCAATCCAGACAAAGCCCTGGCCCATCATCCCTTCATCCTTGGCATGCTTGAAAAAACTAAGAGCTAGCTGATACGACATGCGCACGACAAATACGCTTGTCCATTTTTCCTTTAAGCTTAAGACGACTTTCTTTATGTCATCAGCTCCAGCTGACGGGTGTATCTTGCACCTGTGGGTAACACGGATCTCGGCATTCCTTAGGGCATCAACAAGGTCAGGAATGAATCTTGTATTGGAGTCATCATCTTCGATGACAGGGATGACGTCCCTCCAATTGAATCTTTGAACAAGTGACGCGATAGCTTCTGCTTGTGAGGAGTCGTTCCATGCCGTCCTGATGAAGTATGGAGTTTGGCTGGCCGTTCGACATGGGCTATTTGCAGAGAATGAAACAACAGGAACCGATGATTTTTCCCCAAGCTCCGCGAGAAATTTGGCCTGTGCTGATGTCTGTGGCCCAACGATTGCTTGCACATGGACATTTTTCAGTAGATCGACACCTGCAACATCGGTTATACTAAAAGTTAAAAGAACATTTTTACAAGAAAAGGCTCAGTATGTAACAGCTGCAAGTAGTACTGCCACTAAAAATCTGAACTACCCTATTCAATCCTCATCAGACAAGTGAAATTGGCTCTGACCCCTGCAATGCATCGGTTAATTTGCTGATCTATTCCAACACAAAGGTTTAGATTACACAGTTTATTTTTCTCCTGTCAAGAGAAAACCAAGAAATCCTCCGGGCGCATGGTTGCCAGCGAAACAGTAACTCCTAGATGGGGACGCGGCGAGGGCTACACAGCTCAAAAAACTCATCTGATTTAACTGCCGCGACAGGATTGGGGGAAGAAGAAGCAGGATAACCTTCTCGATCGCTACGGCCGCGGCGCGCGGCGACGCGGAGCCCGGAGCGCGGGAGGGGCGCCGCCACCCCGGCCGCCGGAGCTCCGGAGCCGGAGGCGAAGCTCGCCTCCGCTGGAAGATGTGGGCTCGCCGCAAGCCCAGCAATCCTATGCTACTGGACGGTAGAAGGCCCATGAAAATGTCTGGCCCATTTACGGCCCAACAAGCGGGCAGCCGCTGCTCCGACTGAGCGGCGGCGTCGTCGTCTACCTCCCGCTCGCTGGCGGCGAGGAACGAAAAGCGGCGGCGGAATGGGAGGAGCGCGGAGCGCGGAGCCCGGAGGACGGCCTAGCTAACTTACGGGGAGAGAGCGAGCGCACCTGCGGAGGCGGCGTCGACGGCGTCGAGGCGGGTGTCCCGGAGGTGGAGCCTGAGCGCGGTGGTGTAGCTGGCGCGCTCCTCGTCGGCGTAGAAATCCTCCACGGCGAGCTCCATGCACGCCCAGCTGATGTTCCCCAGCCACGTCCTCCTGTCCAGGATCACCCCCACCTCCACCCTCCTCCGCCGAGCAGCCGCCGCACCTCCTCCTCCTCCATCGACGACCACATCCACTCCCCGAACGCCCAACGAGAAGATCATCAGCAAGAGGACGACGACGAGCGGCATTACGAAGGCTAATCTTGCTCCAGCTTCCATGGACAACGACCCTAAAAAGCTCAGCTACTCTACTACTACTACTTGCGAAGTGAGCAATGGCTGCAGAATGAAAATCATTCCAGTTCCAGATACCCAAGAAAACGATCGCTCGCGTCCATATATTTTCCTCCCAACTTCTCAGCAAGCTAGAAACGGCTTAGCTCAGATGCATTATTCAACAATTCAAGCATGCATGCACGCAAACGGTCAAGCTAGCTAGCCACCGTAGCAGCATGGACCATGGAGATGGCGCGCCTCAGCTCGCTGGGGGTAAACGCGTATGGGAAGGGAAGGAAGCGTGATGGGGCAGCACAGCTACAGCATGCAGCAGATAGGGTTGGGGAATTGGTCAAAGTCGCTGTTGCGTTGTACGCCGCGGCCTCCGCGCGTTGTTCGTCGCCGCGCGGCGCTGTCTGTCTGTCTGTCCGTCCGCCGCTTTCACTGACCGCCTGACCCGACGGAACAGAACAGTAATCTCTCTAAATATCGTAGGATTGCTGAAACATGCTCCCTCCGTTCCACGATGTAAGTCATTCTAGCATTTCCCACATTCATATTAATGTTAATGAATCTAGATAGATTCATATTGATAGTATCATATTCATTAACATCAATATAATACTATCTAGATTCATTAACATTAATATGAATATGGGAAATGCTAGAATGACTTACATTGTGAAACAGATGAAGTAAATACTTCCTTCGCCCTAAAATATAACAATTTTTGGTTGAACATATCCTCCTGTGCAGAATTGTAGTATTAGGATATATATCCTATCCACCCAAAAGTTATTATGTTTTGGGTCGGAGGGAGTACTACATAACAACATACTGTTCTAATGGAATAGGCAATGTCATAATGACGTTTGCATAAAACTTACAGGGTATCATGTCTTATACCGAAGATACCATGATGACATCAGCATGGTACTTATGTATTAGATATGATATGAACGGAGACTTATGTTTGGTTCTAGATCCGAAACCTATGATACCTATGCTGATGCTGATATGGCTCTGGTATCATTCTAATGTCAACATGGTACCTAAGTATCTGATATGATATACCTATGGAGTGTCATATCTGATATCGTAGATATTAAATCTAGAATCTATAAGGTATCATGCTGACATAAGCTATTCCGTTGAAACGGTATACCGTTATATAGTCCTTTTCACTTGCTGAGGGTAGCACGCCACGTCGCCACCTCATCGTTTTTTTTTACTCAAAATCACCCTACACTTCTGGCTAATTGCGTTCCAGTTTTAGTTACCATCATCCGTTCGATCTTAGGCTAGGATTGGCTGTTTTTTTCCGAGCTATAGGATCAGCGAAGCAAAACTGGACAGTCCAGTCGTCCAGATCCCTCGAGTTAGTACAAAACACCGGGGATTACCGTGGTTGCGTGCTTGGATCAGAATGAGGGGCGGTTGAAATAGTCAGAGGCCTGACCCCTGAACGTGTGTGTGAATGTGAACAGGTGTACGTGCTGCATTCGCCGGAATGGCTTGAATTGAGTCTCCGCATCAGGACGGGCTCTAATAATAGTGTTTTTTTTTTGTTTGAGATGAAAGTTTTGTTTTTACGAAACTCTTCAGTCTTCAGTCTTCAGTCCTCAGTCTGTTGCGGACTTAGGCTGTGGCTGTGTTTAGTTCGGCCCAAAGTTTAGAATTTGGTTGAAATTGGAGACGATGTGACTGAAAAGTTATGTATGTATGAAAAGTTTGATGTGATAAAAAGTTGGAAGTTTGAAAAAAAAAACTTTGAAACTAAACACACCCTGTTTAGTTTCTAAAATTGGGGAGAAGTTTGGGGAAAGTTGGTAGTTTGGAAAAAAATTAGGAGTTTATGTAAGGCTGTGTTTAGTTCATACTGAAGTTTGGAAGTTTGGTTGAAATTGGTACGATGTGATAGAAAAGTTGTGTGCGTATGAAAGGTTTGATATGATAGGAAGTTGAAAGTTTGGAAAAAAAACTTTAGAACTAAACAGGGTTTTGGATGTGATGTGATGTGATGGAAAGTTGAGAGTTTGGAGGAAATTTGGTGAGAACTAACAGGGTCTTACACCCGTTCTTTTCAGCTTACTCACGATATTATTACTCTGTTTCAAACTCCGACGAAGAAAAAAAGCAGAGTAGTCCAAAATGTCCCGGTCCCAGTCATATTTCCACATGGCACTAACGCTCACATACTTCCTTCCGTCTATACGGTCAAATCGCTGTAGTCTCTGCATATCAATCGATCATTCCCTCCCTTCCCTTCTGGTGCAGAAACACAGGATGATAGGAAGAAATTGCCGTGGTTATTGGTTGCTTAACGCCTAGTAGGCTAAACATGAAACGGTCAGAAAAACAAAAGTCAGAATTTTACAAACTCAGAGACGTGTTAATCTCTGACGCGCGCAAGAACACCTGAATTTTTCTACAGCGTCAGTTTCGCACGGAAGCGACTGAACGGTAGTCCAGCGGCTTGGCCGGTAGGAAATCAAATTTTGGCGTTGGCATCACGTAGTCGAATTTTCTCCATCGAAAACGACTTGAATGAATATATCAAGAAATCACTTAAATTGCCGGCCATTGAAAAAAAATATATGTATACTTCCTTGCGACCTGCAAGTCGTAACAGTGACTGATTCTTAAAAGAAAATTAAGTCATATAGTAATCTGAAGGAAGTTTTTTAATTTTGATGGGCCATTTTTCATAACTTATACTGAGAGATGCCTAGCCCAGCCCAGCATAGGAGGATGAATTTTGAGCCCAAACACATATGTACTGGGCATGACCAGGGTTTCCCTTACCGTTGGTAACAACACGGTTATTGTGGTAACCACGCTTATCGTAGGGGTACGGTAGGGGTTACCGGCGGTAGGATTTAATAAATTTTACCCAAATTCAAAATTCTAAAAAAATTGAAAAAAATTTGTGGATGTAATTCTTGATTTGTAATGGCAGATGGTGAAGAATTTTTTTTTTGAAAAGGAGTAAGATAAATTTAAATTTAAGGGCAAATCAGAAAGTACATTAGAAAATAGAAAAAAAATGAAAGTACATTAGATTGTTGTTATTTAATTATTATGTTATGAAATTTTGAATTGCTTCAAAGTTTATAATAATGCCGAATATTTGTATTTTACACCCAAAAGTTAGGTTTACGAGTATCCTATATATTCTTTTAATTATCCCCAATTTCTACAACCATTTAAGTGTTTTTTTTCAATTTTCTGCTACACATTTGACGATAACCATGCCAAAACCGCGAAAACGCTGATTTTTTAATTCAAATATTTGAAGATGGATTTTACGCAGTTTTAGATGGTTACCGCTGCCTTACCGCGGAGGGCGACAACCCCTCCAAAAACGGCAAGGGAAATCCTGGGCACGACTGCAAACAGCCAAATCAAATTTCACTACTGAAACTTTGCAAATTTTACAATGTAGAGTTGAATCAATATATACAATTAATGACAGGGCGACAGGGGAACTGTAATTTGTAAATTCCCACCCCCTATTAGAATTATTAGTTGTTCTTGTTCAAACTAATTAATCAATCTGTTCATCTTTTCATCATCGGTCAATTTCGCTAAGGACATGGAGCACCGGTCACTCTTCAGGTTTTGCTCCAGAAGCTGTCAGAAAAATGGCAGTTAAATCCGTTGTTACTGGCCTCTGCCATTCTCTCCAGCGCCGTCGGGATCGCGAGCTGCAGTCGTCGTCGTCGCCTCCTCCTCGTTGGCTTCGCCACCGGCCGGCTCGATCTCGCCGCCGGCCATGGTGCTCGACGGCTGCGGCGACCAGGCGCCCATGTGCAGGCTGATCGGGCTGCCGGCCGCGTCGTGCACGACGGGCGGCGAGGCGGCGGCGCCGCCGTCCTTGGCCTTGAACGTGTGCGCCGAGAGGTCCCTGCCGTCGTAGAGCTCGGCGAGCCTCCGGAACGGGTGCGTCGACGTCGCGACGATGTCGCGGATGGCACCCCGGTTGGAGGCGACGAAGGTGGCGAGGTGGACGGCGCAGCAGAGGAGCGAGGTGGCGCCGGTGATGAGGAAGAGGCCCCAGAAGCTGCCGAAGCTGAGGCTGTCCGACGTGAACGGCCCGCCGGCCGCCTGCGCCGCCGCGCAGCCGTCGGACTCGCCGAACCACTTGCGCTCGATGAGGTTCATCTCCTCGCTCTCCGTCAGCGCCAGGATGGCGCGGGACAGGTCGGCGACGTACGGCGAGCCCTTGGGGAAGGCGAAGCCGAAGCCGCCGGTCTTGTTGGGCTGCCCCCCGCCGCCGCCGCCGGCCATGGCGAACCTGTCGCAGTAGGACTTGAGGAAGATCCTCAGGTACGGCGTCTCGTCCACCACCGCGCCGATGGTGCCGTTGAGCAGCGCCTCGTGGAAGCTCTGCGCCGCCCCGTACGGCACCAGCCTCGCCGGCGGGAACCCGGACCTGGTCATGGCCCCCCGCATGAAGGAGTTGTTCATGATCCCCACGCGCTCCGCGCCGCGCCACAGCGCCGCGTAGCCGGCGATGGACGGCTCGAGGCGCGGCACGGTGAGCATGGAGGTGAGGCTGGCGGTGTAGCTGGACTGGAGGATGAGGACGACGAAGAACCAGACGACGGCGGCGAGGCGGGCGAGGTTGCTGCGGAGGTCCTCGCGGTGGGCGAAGACGAGGGTGGAGAAGCCGAAGTAGAGGAGGGTGCCGAGCTGGTGCCACGGCGGGCCGCGGAACTCGGCGTTGCCGCGGTGCTCGACGAACCAGACGGCGAAGCCGGTGAGGAGGAGGAAGGCAGCGCTGGCGAGCCACAGGTCGTAGCGGAGCGGCTTCAGGAACACCCACGTCCGCTCCCCGCCGCGGCCGACGTCCCGCAGCGGCGCCACCATGGCGATGCCCGACGCCATGAACGGCAGGGTGAAGTCCACGTAGCTCGACCGCGCCGCCGTGATCGTCATGTCCGCCACCGCCGCGTCGAATGCCTGCACACAAATTTAATTTAAACGCCATGGATGTACATCAGTTGAGCTCTCAGCTCAGCTCGCAGGATTTCAATTTTTTTTAAAAAAAAATCTTGGTGCATTCTAATTCTAGCTGGTTACATGCCGTCTACCAAGGTTTTCAAGTTTCAGTTAGAAGTTGCTAAAATGACTTACATTGTAAAACGGAGGAAGTATATCACTTAATTTATATTTTAAAGTATTTTCATGTGATACTAATTTTATATTCGTTAGGAACATAACATGAAATAAATTATTGGTCAAAGCATATCATTGAAGACCGTGTAAACAAATATAGATCTTATAATTTAAGATAGAGGGAGTACTATGAGAAAATCCCCTATGTACCCATGAAAGTTCACATAATCCCTTCTATACCCCTGAATTTTGCTCAATCCCCTACATACCCCTGAATTTTAGTTTGGATCCCTTCCATGCCCTTTCCGCTAGTTGACCGTTAAATTCTTTTGAAAAAGTCCATTTTGCCCTTTGCTATGAAGAAACATAATAAATTAATGAAGTATATTGTTGGAATGTAAAAATTTATCGGATAGGATTATTATATTTATGAATATGTGATGCACCATATTATTTGTGACAAGTTTATTTTTACATATGATATAAAAAGTTAATACTTATTTATTAGTTATTAAAAGTTCTTTTATGTAGCATATGTGTTTTCATAGTAATACAACAAATTTGTTTATTACTATCAGAACACATATGCTAAAAAAAATCTTTTAATAACTTAATAAATAAGTATTAATTTTTTATGTCATATCTACAAGTATATTTATCGTAAATAATATGGTGCATAACTATCTCATAAACATAATAGTCTCATATAACAAATTTCTATGCTCCAACAATATACTCTATTAATTTATATATATGCTTCTTTATACCAAAGGGAAAAATAGACTTTTTCATAAGAATTTAACGGTCAACTAACGGTCAACTAGCGGAAAGGGCATGGAAGGGATCCAAATTAAAATTCAGGGGTATATAAGAGATTGAGCAAAATTCAGGGGTACAGAAGGGATTAGGTGAACTTTCAGGGGTACACAAGAGATTTTCTCGAGTACTATTTAGCAACCTATTGCACCTAGAAAAGAAAATATATTTAATACAAAATTTAGCATAACGATCTCGAAAATAAAGATTTCAGTCGAGATCTTAAAAATTGCTAGCACTACACAAATTCATACAAAAAACTGGTCATATCTTCTTGGGCCAATCAATTAGGCCCAAGTCAAACTCTAACAACAAATGACTTGAAAAAAAATACTACTTGTTTCATCTTCCAAAGAGGGGGGGGGGGGGGCGAACTGGTCCATTTTTTCCAATTAAGTGAAGTCGTCAAGTGTCTAATTACTTAATTCTCGAAAAAACACGGTCTTGTTGGGGCTTTCCATGTAAGTACATAACCTAACCGTTTGGTTATGTACTTACAAGAGAGAGAAGAAAAAGAAGGCAAGGCTCAAGCAAGTTTACTTAAAAGTCTATATACAAGACAACACCAAAATTGCAAGTCGTTAGGACACTAGGTACCAGTGAGTTGAAGAAAATATTGATTGGCCATTGCTACTGGTCTTGGGTTCTATATGCGACAATATATATCATATATATATACACATATATACAAGTGGTGCCAACTCAGCTAGAGTTTTCTTGTAAAATTTTCATAGATATTATATCGAGTATTCAAGCACCCAATTCCAAGATATGGATGTGTTCTTTTCTTTTGGTAAATGAATGATGAATAGCTAAATGATCCTCCCTCCTTCCCTAAATGTTTGACACCGTTAACTTTTTTAAACATGTTTGGCCGTTCGTCTTATTCAAAAACTTTTGTGAAATATGTAAAGCTATATGTATACATAAAAGTATATTTAACAATGAATCAAATGGTAGGAAAATAATTAATAATTGCTTAAATTTTTTGAATAAGACTAACGGTCAAACATGTTTAAAAAAGTCAACGGCGTCAAACATTTAGAGAAGGAGGGAGTATGTGATAATTATTCGATGGTACAAATGAATTAATTAAATATTTTAAAGTTGAAAAATGCATTCAAACAGTTTTCTAAGAAATTAATATATGAAAGTTTTACTCTATTTAGGAGTTTAAGAAGCATGCCGCTGAACGGATTGGAAGGGATCCATTCCTTGAAAAAAAAACACCCACTCCCTCTATACTAAATTAAAGCTATTTAATGGTTAAATTAAGTACCAGAATGTAACTATTTTTGAGTTCTCATGGTAGAGATGTATTAATCTTAATACTCCTCTTTTTCCACGCGTTCACTTGTATTCCCTATCCCGCTCCGCTCTAGGTATAGAGGAACATTAAATGAAGGTATTTAGACTCATTTTTTTCACTTTTAATCTACGGCCGTGTTTAGATTTAAAGTTTGAATAAAAAACATCACATCGGACTTTTCTACACGCAAAAACTTCTAATTTTTCTCTCACATTGTTCTAATTTCTTCAAACTTCTAATTTTAGCGTGGAACTAAACACACCCTATGTGTAAAACTCAAAGTATATTCTGGCAGAGTAGCTGCTACTCCTATATGATGAAAAGTATTAGTATTGTTAGTACTCACTAGTAGTATTATACAGTTGTATATATACACTATAGCTAGTCTTTTACTGGTGCTATACTATACTGCTTCTAGTATAGTACAGATCCGGCAAGATTTCAATAGATTATTCAGACAAGGTACGTTCAGTGGGCAGCCTGTGATCATCGGTTTCATCAGACTCTGATCATTCGCTCGCGTCAACCGTCAAGCAAAAGCAAGCAGAGTTATAATTGGTTATTTGACATTATTTTGACTAGTCGCCATCCGTTCTGGTAAACATAATGAGCTGTTTGATAGCAACAGTATGACGTACAGCGCTGACTTTTCTCAGTTCTAAGTCAATTTTCTCGACGCCAGATCATTATCTGCCCATAAATTACCCATCTCATGGGATCTGATCACCGAGAACTGCGAAAAAGGTTCTTAATTATATATAGCGGTCACATTCATTTCATGGTGAAAAGGAAATACTCCCTCCGTTTCGAAATGTTTGACGCCGTTGACTTTTTATCATATGTTTGACCGTTCGTCTTATTCAAAAAATTTAAGTAATTATTAATTCTTTTCCTATCATTTGATTCATTGTTAAATATATTTTTATGTAGGCATATAATTTTACATATCTCACAAAAGTTTTTGAATAAGACAAATGGTCAAACATGTGCTAAAAAGTTAACGGTGTCAAACATTTAGAAACGGAGGGAGTATGTCTCTACTATTTTTAAAAACACAGTCAGTCCTCTTTCCCTTTCCACCCTAATCCCACGTATAAAAAACCGCTAAAACATCTGTGTACCCAAAAAAAAAACTGACTAACCAGGAAAAAAATATGGGAGTAGAGGAAAAATTTTCTGTAAATTCTAAGTCAATTTTCTTGACATTAAGTCAGTTTTTTCTTGGCCCATAACGTAGCCACTTTTTCCTGTAGTTCTGATTAAAGGGAACCATAAAAGGCTTCTTTTATACTCTAGCAGCTCATGTTCCTTGGGTCAGGTCTTACAAAAAGTTTGGGCTATATATTACCGGCTTATTCGATCCCCAAGAAGAGGCATGGAAGGAAACTTGGAATTGAAGGTGATGATCAGGTCAATATTCCTCAGCTGGTCCAATTAGGAAAGGGTCCAACTTAATTTGATTTAATTCAGTTTTGGAGGAGATAGAGACAAAGACTGATACTGAAGCCACCATGGTCAACTCTTCCATGGTCAAGAGTCATGCATCATGGAGATTATTTCAGACCACAAAAGATGCAGAAATGGACGAAAGAGACCTAATATCATGGAAAAAGGCATAATAAAGTATATGTGTGTAAATTTGCCTGTTTGAATTATTTGTTTTATTGTATACATAGCAGGGTTTTAAATCTCCCGCTATAGCTGTTTGAGAAGGGTTCTAGCTATTTGCTCTCACGTACAATTTAGCCCGCTATAGCTGCCGCTATAGCTGTTTGAGAAGCTAATCGCTAAATGCCTTAGCCCGCTATAGCTGCCGCTATAACTCCATTTAGCCCGCTATAGCTGCCGCTATAGCTGTTTGAGAAGCTAATCGCTAAATGTCTTAGCCCGCTATTTAAAACATTGATACATAGGCATATCAAAGATCAAAGATATATTTCCCACCAAAAAAAGGAAGAAGATTTATTATTTGAGCTAATTGGTTTGAAAGAAGAAAAAAAATGGCAATTCAATTGTTGTTTTAGAATATATAGATCAGGCAAATTTAGAATAAATTTTAAAAATATCTAGCTAGCTTGAAAATAGTTAATTCCTTAAAAATGGACTAGCTTGATGGGTCATGTACATGCATGCTGTGTTTTAAAAATGTCTAGCGACAATATCTCTGACATAATATAGCGAGCAGTGCCAAAGGTGGCACCATTGGATTTGTATTCAAGACTACTATCAAGTGATTTTTTTTTGGCAGTTGTTGATGATATAATGTGAATTAAAAAAAATAAAAATAACAAAACATAGTGTTCCCAAATTAAACCGCAAGCCATGCTAATTTTCGTTTATAGGATATTGGATAGGTAATCGAATTCGAGTAAAATTTCCCACATATGTCAAAACTTGGTAAAAGCCAAATGAGACGTCGATATTGATCAAGAATTGGGACCGCATGGAGCCTGTTTTGGTAGCCGATCAAAGTCATATACTATGGTCGCTTCGCATTGGTCCCTTAGTCAAACAAAGTAGTCTAATGAGTCTCGATCGATGAATTTAATAGGATTCCTTTTAAATTCGATTAATTCTGGTGTTTATATACTGGCCGGGGACACTAGTACATAAAGAAGACTCCACGAGCACCACGCAAGTCTGCCGTTGTCTTACTTAGTTGACTGCAACTCTTTTAAGCAATATTACTTACTAGTGTACGTATTTATCAACGAATTTTCATGCGTGTAATTGATCAGAATGAACTGTAAAATTTTACCTAAAATTTCTCACTAAAACGTTACATATACTACTATATATATCCCCTTGTATGTTATTAAAAGAATAACATTCAATCCCCTTTTATCATAAAAACATGCCGCCTTGTACTTTCAGATGCAACTTGATTTAGCACTTATTTGTGGTGTAATGTACATATAAAACCCATCCTCCACCCAAAATTGATATGAATTAATACAACTATACAAGTGTAAAACAAAGAATTGTAAAACATAAAAAGAATATATGAATAATCGTTTAAATAGACCATAGAAAAACCGAAGGGACCGGATAAGAGATACTCCTAGATTCGAAGGAAATTTTTCAAAAGGTTGGAGGTCGTGCTAAATTTCCTCCAAAATCTCCATAAGATTGTCTATTCCATAGAGATTTCAAAGTAAAGGATATGATTCAAACCTTTGTTTCAAAGACTTTCTTAGGATTTCTTTTCCTAAAGAATTGAAATCCTCTAAATTTTCTATTTTTTTCTACAAATCAAAGGGGGACTAATTGAGCATGTTACTACTTATGACCGAATTATATGAGGAGGAAAGTGACCTAGATGCCCACTATTAAATTAGGGTTGTTTGGTAGCTCCATTGTTCAGCCTTCATCTTATAAGCATAAGCAAACATTTTAATTTTATGCCTTAATTTTAAAGTTGATTTGCGGTTTTTTCATCATAGTTGGGGGTAAGATGTGAATAAATTTAAACGAGAGAAGTTGATTATACTAGTACTGTGATCACTTATCTTGAGATAAATTTTGAATCCAACATAGTCACTTTTGGGAGGGGCGTAATATCATGTTATGAAACTATTTTTCAAGAGAAATCCATACGAATATTTAAAAAATACATTACATTTTCGAAGTCTTGAAGGCTTGATCGGATCCTTGTCCGAAACGACATAACCACATAAATATTTAGATTATATAACAAGAGGCAGTGCCTCATTGATATTTATAAAAGGTCCAAATAAATACCATGCTAAACTATCAATATATAGGATCAACCTAATATGTATATGTTCAAATATTATCCACACAATGGTATTAGTCACCAAGTCTGAGTTATAATATATTACAATGTTTTCAAATATAAACTAAGATAGTGGGTGTGTATATTTGCCAAAAAAAAACCATTATTGTTGTGAAGGAGTTCTTCATTAAACTGTCATATTAATTTCATGTTATTTTGTGGGTTGTGCAAGCAAGTTTTAGTAAATCAAACAATGTGTTCAAAGTTCTAGCAACTGTACATATAAACTGTAGTACTAAATTGAACAAAAAAATATACTTCCTCCTTCCCTAAATGTTTAATGCCATTGACTTTTTAAAATATGTTTGACCGTTCGTCTTATTCAAAAACTTTTGTGAAACTTGTAAAACTATATATATACATAAAAGTATATTTAACAATAAATCAAATGATATGAAAATAATTAATAATTACTTAAAATTTTTTAAATAAGATGAACGGTCAAATATTTTTAAAAAGTCAACGGCGTTAAACATTTTGAGATGGAGGGAGTATATTTGATGTACTAGAAGCACAAGCACTTACCCCATCAGCAACCATCTGCACCAGCTTGTCGTAGGGCATCGACTCCGCCTTCACGTACTCCACCGGCAGCGCGTACGGCAGCAGCCGCACCGCCGCCTCGAACACCTCGACGACGAACCCGCCGGCGGTCGTCCGGTTCGTCGCCGCGTCCACGTCCAGGTGCACGATCGCCCGGTACCCGGGGTTGACGCTGCCGGGCACCGCCACCCGCAGCCTCCGCGCGCTCGTCGGCACCACCCACCCCCTCGGCACCACCGTCGACTCCCCCGGCCAGATCACCGGCGCGAGCTCGCCCCCGCCACCGCCGCCAACGCCGAGGTGCCGGGTCAGCCCGCCGTCCTTGGTCCAGAACCCGATGCTCCTCTCCTTCCCTCTGTCCATGATGTTCAGCACGCGGAAGGCGTGCACCGCGAGCTCGCCGTCGACGAGCTGGAACCTGCCGCCGAGGCCGTCGAACGTCGTGCTGGTGATCGCCTCGAGGAACTTCTTGCCGGACCTTGACTTGCCGAGCCCGGCGAAGTCGGTGGGTCCGCCCTTGCCCCCCACGAGCCCACCCTGCGGCGGTGATAGGTCGCCGGCGGTGAGGTGTTCGGCGGCGGACGCGACGGCCCACGCGGCGTCGTAGGCCCACACGGCGTAGCTGCCCATCTCGGCGTGCTCCGCGTCGGCGGCCGGGTGCTCGGCCATGAAGCGGCGCACCCACCGCCGCCTGACGTCGCGCAGCCGCGGCGTCGTCGGCACGTAGGGGGCGAGGCCGATCACCCCCTGCGGCGCGTTGATGGAGCCGAGGAGGCCCGTGAGCCCGTCGGTGATGACCCACGCGAAGCCCTCGCCCATCATCCCGGCGGCCTCGGCGGCGGCGAGCACGCGCCCGGCGAGGTCCGGGCGCGCGTGCAGCACGAAGGCGCGCGTCTGCAGCGACTCCATCCGGTACATCGCGGCGGCGACGGCGTCGGCGTCGGCCCCCGCCGGGAGCGCGCAGCGGTAGGGGACCTCGGAGCCCTCGGCGGTGAGCGCGTCGACGAGGAACGGCACGAAGGCGGCGCCGTAGTCGTCGTCCTGGTAGACCGGCACGACGCGGCGCCACCCGAAGAGCCTCGCGAGCGCGGCGATGGCGCCCGCCTGCGCCGCGTCGCTCAGCGCGGCGCGCGCGAAGAACCTCCCTCCGCCGGGCGACACCGACGGGCTGGTCGCCGAGAACGACACGACGGGGACCTCCGCCCGCGTGGCGAGGTCGGCGACGAACGCCGACTCCACGGAGGACTGAGGCCCAAGGATGGCGCGCACGCCCCGCCCCTCCATCAGCTCCAGCGCTGCAGCACGCGACGATCGACGTCCATTAATTCATCATCACAAGCTCAAGCTACGAAACGAGACGAAACGAGCGTGTCCGTACCGGCGGAGGCGGCGGCGACGACGTCGCCGCGGGAGTCGCGGTGCAGGAGGCGGACGCGGGCGGGGGACCGCGGGAAGGCGGCGTAGAAGTCGTCGAGCGCCATGGGGATGGTGGTGTTGGCGATCTTGCCGACCGGCGAGCCGCCGTCGATGATGAGGCCGACGGTGACCGTCAGCGGCGGCTGCGCCGCCGCGAAGAGGAGGTATCCGAGGAAGAGGAGGAGGAAGAGAGGATTCGGGGTGTGACCAGCCATGGAAGAGGCAGAGAGAGAGAGAGAGAGAGTTGTGGTGGACGATCAGTTCGATCGGCGAGCGAGATAAAAGTCGCCGTGTGAGTACACTTGCCCATTTTTTTGGCGCCTTATGTACGATTCGGTAAGTTTGGTTGAAATTGGAACGATGTGACAGAAAAATTGGAAGTTTATGTGAGTAGAAAAGTTTGATATGATAGAAAAAATTAGAAGTTTGAAGAAAAATTTAGGATCTTAACACGGTGTAAGTGGGGTTGCTTGGAGAAGAATTTTCTATACCGGGTGTCATTCTCACCGAAAGTTACAAGGAAGCTCTAACGATTTTGCTATATCTCACTCGAAAGATTTTTTCTTATCTCTCACTCGATTTTCTCACTCAAATTTACAGTGTTTTTTCTTGTAAGTTACAGTGTAATTTATAAAACTTACGCTGTAACTTTTGTAAGTTACACTGTAATTTTTGAATCTTCACATGTAAATTTTAAATTTTGTATTGGATTTGGTCTTTTTCTTGAGGATATGGTAATTTAGTGTTCATTATGGTGTTTCTTAATTGCTTTTTGCTTTTTATTATATCTATCGGATTTTAATCTAAAGATTAAAAATCTGTGTGATACAATCATAAAAATCTTTCGAAAGATGTATAGGTACTCCCAAGCTCTAATGATGGACGCATGTATAATATTCTACAAGCTAGAGCCCATGTAATTCTTGGCTGGAGCAAGTCATGATAAAAGTAGAGGAATAAGTCTATTTTACCTCCCTCATCTCTATTGCTTCTCATTTAATCGCCTCACTCAACCACAAAATTGGGTATAGCATCTCGCTCATCTTCGCAAACCAGTGCAAATTACCTCCTTCGGTAGTTTTGGAAGCGATTTCTGCTGATGTGATAGATTGACTTGCTGTGTCTATAGGTGCGACCCAAATGTCATCGACTTCCACCTTATCTCATCTTCCTTACCTCCCCTCTTCTCTCTCTTTCCTCTCTTCCTCCTCACTCACCTTATAGCAGTTCGTCGGCCAGCGAGCTCCTCCCTTTCATATCTCTGTTGAGGAGATCTCCTTCCCTAACACGTAGACGGCCAGCGAGCTCCTCTCGCAAGGGCTGCGGCTCTTCTTTCCATGTGCTCGGGCGGCCAGGTGGAGCGCAAGGAATGGAGGTTGGAGAGGACGCTGGTGATGGGTGCTTGTCCCCCCGATCTCCGGCGGTGGTGCTCACAGTATGGCATGAAGATCACGAATTCCTCCCCCTTCTTGGCCCTACAGGCTTACCCGTTGCAACGTTGAGCCACCGCTCTTGCTCACATGCCGGCACCCAAGCACGCTTCACTAATGTCTCCTAGCGCCACGGTCCCGCTCCGCCTCCTCGCTCACATCCCCATCCGCACTGCCTGTACCACCGCCGCAATCCCCCTCCTCAGATCATGGCCCACCTAGGTTGGATGGGTCTATTGTACCAAGCTAGCCATAGAAGCTCTTCAATCTTCACCTCTCCAGCGATGAATAGTTCGCATGTGAACGATAGCTGAGGTGAAATGTTGTTCCTTTGGTGATTTTCAAAATTGGATTTTCTTTTTTCCCCTCTTATCATCTCCCGCTTTTTATAGACATTTTATACGCAACTTTTTGCGCTAATACAGAATAACATATCAAACATTTTAATTATTTTCTCTGATTAGGGTGGCACGTAATCGCCACATAGACGCCACGAGGGTACGTAGACCAAGTCAATATACCATGTGGGCGCCACAAAAGGATAAAACCACTCTTCAAACCGCTAAGGGTAATTTACACTAGTTTTATTAGTTGGAGGATACTTCGTAACTGCTTTTGTGGTCAAGGGATGCAAATGAAATTGGGCCTATAGTTCACAGATTTAAAGTGGACTTTTTCCCTCAGCAAAAACATAGGCCGAATCAGGCCAGGTCCATTGGGGTTAGCCTGCAAAGATCAAACAGGACTGGGCCGGGCCATGTCCGTCTCGACGAGTTGCTCCGGAGAGGGGGGGGGGGGAATAAGTTCACTTTAGGTTCCTCTATTTGTTGGTCAGTCTGATTTTCGTCTCTTAACCACAAAACCGGATACGACCCGTCCCCTAACTTACAAAACCGGACAAACGAGGTCCCTCGGCAGTATGGAGGGCGGTTTTGACTGACGTGGCGTATACGTGGCTCCTTTGACTAGGTCTTCGTCCCACGTGGCAATGACGTGTCGCTTACGTGGCAATTTTATCCCAAAAAATAATAAAAATAGTAGGACCCATATATCAGCAACACAAAAAATAATTTAAAAAGGTGGGGCCCATGTGGTCCCACATGTCAGCCTCCCTCTTCTCTCTATCCCTCTCTCTCTCCCCCCTACACTGCCAGGAGAGAAGGGTGAGCGGCGGCGCCGAGGCGGCGTTGCTCCGCCCACCGCCCGCGGCCGCTCCATTTCGCCTCGCTTCCTCCCGCCGCCGGCAAGTGCAGAAGAACATACACATGGCGATTCCGTGGTCACTAGGTTACATGAACTGAATAACCTTGATACTGAATTGTGTGATCACTAGTGTTACCTTTGATGTCTCGATGTGTCATTCCATCGGGTGCAGTGTTCCTGTTCAAGCACGCCAACTCGAGGGAATTCCAGCTAAGCCCTGGAGGGAACGAAGACAAGGGCGCCATTGCCGAGCAGCGGGTGTCGCTGCTGCGATCGTGGCTGCTGGCCTGCCGCTGCTCTGCCGCGACAGCAACGGCACGGACGCGCCGGTGTTGAGCAGCATGGAGAGGACGTCGCTCCGTCCACTGCCCACCGCCGCGCCGCTTCGCTCCGTCGCCGCTCCGCCCATCACCCCCTCGGCGCCGCCGCTCGCCGTTCTCTCCTGCTAGTGTATAGGGGGATAGAGAGAAGATGGAGGCTGACATGTGGGACCACATGGGCCCCATCTTTTTTAATTATTTTTTTAGCTAACATATAGGTCCCACTATTTTTATTTATTTTTTAGATAAAATTACCATGTAATCGCCACGTCAATACCACGTGGGATGAAGACCTAGTTAAAGGAGCCACGTAGGCGCCACGTCGGTCAAAACCGCCCTCCATACTGCCGAGGGAACTTGTTTGCCCGGTTTTCGTAAGTTGGAGGACGGGTCATACCCGGTTTTGTGGTCAAAGGATGAAAATCAGACTGACCGACAAATAGAGGGACCTAAAGTGAACTTATTCCGAGAGGGGGATACAGGAGTCAGGAGGTAGCTAGATGAGCGAAACGGTGCCTCCATGGCTCCATGAGGCCTTTCTTGAAGAGCGCGAGCTTAGCGAGGTCGCGAGGAGGAAGACGACCACCTGCAACACCTGCGCGTTCACGGAGTTGAAGGGGATCTCCACCAAGAAGTTGACGACGGCGGGCTAGCTTGGCCAGCGCGGAGAGGACAACCTGCTCGACGCTGGCCTCGCGCCATATATAGCCGCCGCTTGATCCAGGCTCACCCATTAATAGCAAATCAAGAATAAATCTTAGTGCGGTGCTAATTAATTTAGTTTCAGTACTGTAGCGTGCCTGTGTTGCCGTTCTTTAGTTTATTTGTCATCAGACTTTCAGAGCCTGTTAGCTTTAGCCCGCTTCTTCAGCTGCGGCGCGTGTGTGCTCTTCTCGATGCTGTAGCCTCCCCTCCTGTTGCCGTCGCCACCACCATGGCCTTGGTGATGTTGGTCTGGAACGACACCACCGCGCGCGGGACCACGGCCATGGTGGTCCCGTCTTTTGGGGCAGCGGCGCTGGGGGATAAACCCTAGCAAAGAGAGAAGCTAGGGGGATTCACGGGCGTCGCCGGAGGAGCAGCAGCGTCTTCATCGGGGGCAGCTCGGGCTCCGCCCCTGCTGCACGACGAGAGAGATGGAAAAGAGACTAGAAAGCGGATGGGAATGGAAGAGGGTATTGTGGTGCTGACACGTGGGGCCATATGGGTCTCACGCTATCTTAACCGCCATATCAACCAAAATTGAGAGTTATACTGCCTTTGGACCTAATGTGACCGGTTTTGCAAAGATACGGATGCGTTATACTCCCTCCGTTTCTAAATATTTTACTCCCTCCATTTCTAAATATTTTGCTCCCTCCGTTTCTAAATATTTGACGCCGTTGATTTTTTTTAACATGTTTGACCATTCGTCTTATTAAAAAAATTAAGTAATTATTAATTCTTTTCCTATCATTTGATTCATTGTTAAATATACTTTCATGTACACATATAGTTTTACATATTTCACAAATTGTTTTGAATAAGACGAACAGTTAAACATGTGGTAAAAAGTTAACGGTGTCAAATATTTAGAAACGGAGGGAGTATCCAGTTATTCCGGTTTAGGGACGATTTAAAACTTAACGACAAAATGAGGGACCTCAAGTGTACTTTTTCCGTCATTTAATGAGCCGTTTCGGTTTACCGCATCATGCTGTGATGGGCCGTCCGGTCCAGCCTCGGACTTTAATGGGCCGCAAACCAACGATCATTGCAGTCTCAGGTATCACGGCAGACAGCGTGCAGGAAGCAAAGAAAACGAAATCGAAAGATTTTTCTGGGTTTGCAACCCAGAATTTGCTTCAACATACGTACCATGCATGGTTTTCAAACGGGATATTAGGAAGTGAGTATTAAAAACCTGCCGCAATTTTTTTTTGAGAAAAAATTCAGATGTAGTGTAATTGTACTGTAACTACGATATAACTCCTTATATTCAACAATGGTTTGGTTAGCTAGTATTGGGATTTTACGCGTGACATGTGTAAAAATTTCTTTCTAGTAACCTCGTTAAGTACAAATCTCAAGGCGATCTAATAGTCACAAATCAAAAAGTTTTGAGGACAAAACTAGTTCAGAAATTGAGAACTGCGCCAACAAGCAGACAACGATTAGAAAGTGGATTCGCATCCGATAGCAAAATATCTCAGCACGAATCCTAGCGCCGAATTGAACGGCCAAAAAATAGAACGTTTTCAACCCCCGAAACTGTCGACAGCTAATAACTAGCAAAACCGTATTGGGAAACATGCATGGTTCAGTTTTCCTCCCGCAATTTTCTCTTGGTTGGCCAGTTAGGACTTTTCCCGTTCTTTTTAATAAAGACTATGTTTAGATGGGACTAAAACTTTT